GCCTTATTGGACAGTCCAGGGCCTTCTCTCTCTCTCTCTCTCTCTCTCTCTCTCTCAGCCAGGAGTCTGGGAGCTGCCACACACGGGCTGGCAGGCCTGCTTGGGATTAATTGCAACCCCACCTCCCTACCTGATGGAAAGAAGCAAAGTAAAAATGGAATCTGGTCAAATAAACAATCAACCAGGCATAGCAAATGCTTGTATTTGATGAGACTAACTTGACCAAAAGGGACCATGGTCCCCAATCACATAGGATCATGGTCCTGTCTACTCAGAAGCAAGTCCCTTTGAATTTATCAGGGCTTACACCAAATAAGTAGGGGTAAGAGATCCAGTTATGACCTTACAATAGGTTTAGATATGGCATGTAGCCTCTTGATTAATACAGAAACCAGGTGGCTGTTTTTCAGATTTACCAATTGCCTTTATGTGCATGATCTTTCATCCTCTGTTCAACAGTTACTTAACAGGTAAGAGACTGCATTTTTAATGATAATATAGACAAGTGTCAGGCACTTGGCATTAACTCTTGGCAGGATAGAGGCATAACCTGTCGGCCTCCCCAGGAAGGGTTTACCAAGGTCTGACACCTTAGTAGCAGGCGTGTAGAGGTTCTTTCCTTCAATTTGCTCCTCTAAGTCCTTGCTTAGGACAGGTGAAGAAATAGAGAAACTAGGAGGAGCAGGGCAGGAAGTTTCAGGGCTTGGAAATGGACCTGTGGCGACACACGTGCTCTGGCAGAGATGCGATTACGTTGAGTTTCAATGCCTCCTGCAGAGCTCCGCTTCGCATGTGGTCCTTGATAAAAAATTCCTGTCATGTTCTGAAGCATGCAATTCCTTGCATTATTTTGGGCTGCACATTTTAATCAGTCACTATCTCTCAACTTGATCTCTGTTGTGAAGATAAAATTGGGTGCAGAGGAGGTGTTGTAAGTAATCGCAAGGTCCTTGGAGGATGAGCAGAATAAATACACTTTTAAAAATCCTTACATTCTTATAGCAGTTTCTATCCACCCAAAAGCTTTTAAAATACTTCAAGCTCTGAAACATGTGCAACTTGCCCCAAACATGCTTGGTAAAATAAGAAAGGATCAAAGTACAAATAAATAAGAACAGCACATGGGCTGCCTTGAGGAGTAGAAAAAGCATCTGCTTTGCCACTCTTTGGCCCAGCATGTGTTACATAAGAAGGAAAATTGGAAAGAGGAAAAAACCCACAAAAGCTTTAAAAAGTGATAAAAATCTTAATGTAGCTGCAGCACATTAGTCGGCCTTTTTTGTGGACAGCAAAAAAATGTCTATTAAACTGCTCTAGAAGCCAACTGGCTTTTATGTGTATGTTTTGCATGGGTCCCTCCCACCCCACCTTCCCATGCCAGCCCTATTCATAATGAAGATTCTATCTCACAAAATAAACTTGTGCTTTGCCAACGGGCTGATCTTCCCCAGTACAAAGCAAAGTTGCTCTCCCTTTGTGTTTAATTTCTTTTCAGTCCTGGCTCTCTTCCTCCTCCTGTTCTCGGGCTGTTTGAATGAGGAGGATTTCTGCTAAAGCAGCAAATATAGCAAGCTCAGTTAGTAGCTTCACCCCTGTGGCTTGCTGATCCATAACTTAAAGGAGGTGAACTGGAGAACACACGTGGTCCTGCTGCTGGGACACTGGACTTCTTTGCTTGTGTTCAGTTGTGTAACACTGTGCAGGTTCCTGGAGAAGTCCCAAAAGAAGTGAAGACATAGGAGGGATCAGCACCACTAGCAACAGAGGAGATAAGATCCTGCATTAAAAAATCGTCACTTTGAACTCCTGCTAATCTTTCTGAAGGATAAGATAGTTCCACGTTAACAGACTCCCTTCTGCCCAATTAGTTCTACTTAGAGAAGCCTCGTTAACATCAGTGGGACTTATATTACTTAGGTTGTTGATTTTAGAAGTTTTACTTAGCATGGCTAAGTCTGGATCCAACTCATAATAATGGTGCTGTGCTACATAGCACCAGAAAAGCCCTGCCAGATCAGACCAATGGTCCATCCATTCCAGTTTCCTATTTCTAACACTGGTGGCCAAGATGCCTCTGGATTGCCCAGAAGCAAGCCAATATGCTACATACTGTTCCACTAAACGCCAGTCTACAACTACGTCACCGCCACGTTAGAAGAGTCTTTCAGAGAACTGCTTTGAGACAGGTTTGGGATTTCAGGGGAGACACGTGCCTGCCTTTAGCTGTTCTGACACATCCGTTCAGACAAACTTTGGGGATAATAGCATTCCCTCCTCACAAAATATATTGGAATGCACATGCGCAGCTGAGATCCATGTTCAACTCTCCAAAGAAAGCTATTCCTAGGGTTCTTAATTATATGATGAGCCAGGAAACTCTTGTATTCAAACTGTCACCCTCCATGTGTACTGGGCAATGGAGACAAGGACAGATGAAGGGCTTGGGTCCTCCCACATTCATTCAACATGGCAAGAAGAATACCTTATTTACTTACTTACTTACTTACATTTATATGCTGCCCCATAACCCAAAGGGATCTCTGGGTGGCTTACAATAAGAACAGTGACAACCTCAATTAAAACAAATTTAAGAATAAAATCCATTAAAATACAAGATCCGGCAGTCAAGGTGAGGAAGGTCACAGCAAAGCATGCAGCAATAAAAAAATTCAAGCAATGTTAAAAATCAGTTCATCTAACAAAACACCTGTTGAGCCACCCATCCAGACTTCATCCCAACTTGACTCTGCTTAGTTTTCAAGATTAGGCAGGATCAAGCACCTCAGGCTATGTGTAAGCTTCATATGGAAGGACCTCTGTCAAAGATCTTAGTGACTGGAAAGGGATATATGGAGACAGGCATTCCCTCAGATATCCTCTCATGTCCAGCTGTCTACAGCAATTCACCAGGGAGTGTGCTTACTCAGCTCCCATTTATTTCACTGGAGCTTGTGCCAAAGAACTTCCTACTGGATCCCATTTCAGGTGTTCTGGACCTGAGTAGGCAAGCATGTGAGAAAGCATACGCCGACCCCACCCATTTCCCATCACCCTTGTTGCCCTCCTGTTATGAAGGGAGACTGTCTCAACAGGAGAGCCTCCACGGATAGAAAAGGTGCTCCTCTTCGGACAGCCACACTCACCAGCTGAGCGCTACAAATGCAACAGAGAAGATGGGACTGGAGCACTTCCCTTATGTGTTTGTCCTATTCAGTGTCACAATAACAAGACCAGAGTTGCGGTCTTCAGTTTAGGTGCGCTTCTAATCTGCATAAGGCTCAAGGAAATGGAACTAGAATAAAAGTTCACCTATATGAGCTCCTGAGGCAGGGCCATCTGCTGGGCCATCTCTCAAATGAAGCGACAGAACTAATGTCTTGTCTGGAGTGTGATGCAAAGGAACAAGATTTGCAAAGAGCACATCTGATCATCTGGAATGAAAACATGTAGGAATCAGCATAGCTCGTGTTGCCATAGTAAAATCTTCACCCACTCATCTCGTACTGAGGTCTGAGACATCTGTGAATGATTTCAACATCTAAGCTGAAAACTTAATTTCTGAGCTCCATCAGCCCAAAGACCCCAGTTCCATCTTTTCCTCAATGGATTTTTTTTTCCTGGTAAGGGGAGAAAAATGGGGAAAGTGGTGGGAAAACATGGGAGGACTGCAGAAGGAAGACTCCTCCTGACCTAAGTCTGAGGGTTGGAATTGTGCCAGAGACCTGCCAAATGTCCTTAACGGACTGCGCCCATCCAAACTCCCTTGTAGAGGTATTGCAGTTCTCATTGAACACTGTACATAGGAAGGTGCCTTACAGCAGCGCAGCCCCCCCCCCCCCGCGATTCACTGGCTTGTGGGGCCCCACCCACTGAGTCGCAGTAGTGCCAAGGATGTCTTTCCAGTCATCTGCCCTCGGAGTCTTTTGAGACTCCAGGGGCAGAAGTGGATCTTTGCTCCGCAAAGCATAAACACCACGACTCCCTACACTGTCTACGGGGCAGGAACCTTGCTATACCGTGCATCGTATCATTGGCTGCGGTTGTGTATAAACGTACACATACCACCTGCTTCTTGGACTTCAACTGAGAGGGAAAGCCAAGGCGGGGGCTGCTCTACTTCTTGACACATCTATGTAAGAACTGCCAGGCTTTCGGTTTAAGAACGGAATGGTTTCAGCAACAGCGCTAAATACCATTTCATACTCCATTCCCTGCGGTGCGGCGGGCAACGTGCAAACGCAGGCGCCAACGTGGTCCACACGCTGAGCCGGCGTTTGCTTACACGCGGCTTGAGCCTGGCAGACGGCGCACGCTGCGGGCCATGTGAACGGCCGCGCTAGTGACCCACCCGAGGCAGCTACTCCCAGCTCCCGCGCTCGCTCGTCCTACTTCGCGCTGCGGCTTCCAGTGACGCGATGTACGAACTTTCGGCAACAACCGATCAAAGTCACCAGAGCTTGGAAGTGGAGCTGGGAGCCAACCTAACCTGAGCTGTGCGCTCCTCCCCCTCCACTGAAGACGCCATGCTGTGCATGCTCAGCCAGAAAAAGCACGCTCCGGCACCCAGCATACCGGCCGGGCGTTGCAGGCGCCTTTTTTCCTGCTAAGCACTCGCAGGACAGCGCCCTGAACGTCCCTTTCCGCCCGCCGCCCTCTCCCTGCAGGCGACTGGGGACGAAGGGCGGGTTGAAGCTGTCGCTCGCCTTTGCAACCCGCAGCAGGTTGCAGGCGGCGGACCGCGTGCCTCTCCTTCCCCGCCGGGAGGAGGCACCCGATCACGGCACCGTCGCCATTGCTGCACAGGAGCTCAGCCCCACGCGGTGCAGCAGGCCTGGCCTCTGGGTAGACACGCGGAGCACCACGCATCCAGGCGGCGTGGCGGCCAGCTCGCCGGCGCAGAGATAAAGGGGCGGGGCGGGACTTTTCCCGGGAGCCCGGAGGGGGAGGAGCCTGCGGGACCTCGGAGAAAAAGCGCCGCCGGGGAGCGGGTCCGCGCAGAGCGGCTGCAATTCTCCGCGGTGCTGTCGAGCTCGTGGCGGCGCTTCTCCTCGCCCTCTGCTTCTGTCCTTGCCGCGGCTCGGCTCCGGCACTCTCGGCTTTCCTTCCTGGTCTCGGCGGCATCCTCCCATCTCGTGGCTGGCAGCTCAGCTCAGCTCCGCTCCCGCAGGGCAGCTGCGATGCGCCTGATCCAGAATATGGGGACCATTGCCGAGTACCCCCAGGCAGGGAACGCCAGCAACAGTGGAGAGAGCTGCGCCGCCGGCCGCCCCCGCCTCATCAAGATCGCCGTGGTGGGAGCCAGCGGTGTGGGCAAGACCGGTAAGCGGGGAAGGCGGCGGCGGCTGGGGCGGGGGTGCGTGCGTGGGGATCACAGCAAGGTCGGAGGTGGCGGCGAGAATACTCAGGCATAGCCAAAGTGTTGAGCACCTTTTGCTGGGGGAGATCCAGCTGCCCCCACCCCCGTCCGCCCACATCCATCGTGTGGGTGAGCGGAGAAAGCTCCTCCACCCCGTCAGAGAGCGGGCGACGGCGAAAACTCCCTCCGAGGAGCCAGAAGGGCGCAAACCTTGCAGGGAGTGAGAATAGCGCCGTTTCTCCTAAGATCGAATTCGGAGAGAGACTGCAGTAGCATCGCTCTGCTCTTTCCCCAGCCACCTGCTGCTACATTGGCGGTAATAACCTGCCACAAAACACAATAGATCGGCATCACACTAAACATGACATTTGGCCACCCCCTTAAAAGGAGGTACCTCTGGTGCAGATTCTTACACAGCTTCCAACCCCCCCTCCCCATGCTGCCAGTGACCCTTGCTTGATGTAGACTGAGAGTTCAGATGGGCCAGGAACTATAGGCTGCCGGGGGGGGGGGGGGGAATAGAGGCAAAAAGGTATCAGTTGGTTGGGAGCTTGGATCTTAGCTGATTTTTTCCACTTCCCTAAATGTGTTCATTCTGTAACTATCCTGTAGCCTTCAGCAGGAATGCCTTCTGAGTAAATAGGCTAAAGATCCTTCACCCAAGTCTCATCTGTTGGCTGCTTTCATTCACAAAATGAAACTGTTGAAAAATATACACACCAATATTGTCCACTTGAACAATGCTTTGCAGGAGAGGGTGTTCTATATTTGGGTTGTCAGGTGAGCAAGCAGAAACTGGGTAGTGATCAGACTTACATTCCAAGTGGAGATGGCTTTTTCCTCTCCTGTTTCTAACTTGCCTCTTTTTCTGTGAATTGCAGCCCTGGTGGTGCGGTTTCTCACAAAACGATTCATTGGAGACTATGAACGCAATGCAGGTAAGAAGTGACAACTTCTGCTCTGTTGTATGGGCAGGCTCACATTGCAATGTATCCTGATCCTCCCCAGCAAAGAACCCAGTGAGCCTTTGGCATCTCACTGTCAGGAAGCTAAGCCATACAATGGAACTTCACTTAGGGACTGTCTGACTGGCTGCACGCGCACGTGGGAGGGGGCATTCATCAAATTACTGAGAGGACAAAGAGAATCCATGCACTGTCTTATTTGTACTTACACAGTCCCCCCCCCGCCAAAAAAAAGAAAAGAAATAAGGAGAAGAAGCACTGTGTGTCCCTTATTTACCATTCTGCCTCTGCCACCACTCACCTTCAGCACAAGGAACTAAATTCCAAGTTAAAGGCCATGGCTTAAAGCCACTACTAGTTCTGCTCCTATATTTATGTGCCTTAGTAAGGCATTTACATAGATCAACTTGAGTTCAAATCCAAAATATTTCATTATTCTACCAGAAAAGTAGACAAGCAAGAGAGAGCTTTTCAGGAAATTGCAGGAGGGCAAATGACTGCAGGCAGGGCAAGAAACCATCCTCTGTAAAACAGATGAAAACCAACAGAAAAATATGATCCCAATATATAACGATCCATGGAAGCAATATATCTGAAGTGTCAAACTAATCCAGCTTTTGCTATAATCAAGATGCAGACTCATATGACTTGTGCTGTGCACTGGACAAACCCGGAAACATTTATGCAGATAATTTAAATATCCTTGATTGTTTTTGGAGGAGAGGAATCGGTCTGTTTACAGTAGAAAAGGTTGTATTAGTTTGAGCACTTTGTGGAAAGAGTCTTCTGATAATTGAGCCAAGATCTGTTGTGACATTTAAAATATGAAGATACTGCTACTTTCTCCTTAGACAAAAGGCTGTATATGAAATGAGGAGCAAACCCTTTAGGATGCTGCCAGAAACCTTCAGAGCAAAAAAGTTTGTTAGTTGTAAGCCACCTAGGAAGGCCTTTGGCAGTTATAGGCAGCATCTAAATATGTGAATGAATGAATGGTCATGAGTGTTCAGTTGCTTCTGTGTTTCTCTAACCTTCAAAAACATTTTGACAACTAAGTGTTTTTCCCTCCTCATAAGGAGGTGGGCCTGAGGCACAGTCTTGATTTAGCAGAAGCTGGTGGTGCCTTCGTCCTGGAATGCCCACCCAACATATTCCAGATATGGTCTTTGGAGGCTCAGCTAATATGGAAAGAACTGAGTTGGCTGAGAGAGCAGAGGAAGGTCCTCCAAAGGCAGAGGCCTCACTGTGACCTGAGAAGGCCATTCTGTGGTCACAGCAGGGACTCCACCTTTTCATGACTGGCCAGACAATGTCTGCCAGCTGTTTCAATGGCATGCAGAGTCCAGTGTTGTCAAAGAAGAGGAGGATGTCCGATCCATCCAAAGTGAAGCACATTTAAGGCTTTTTGAGTCCAACAGAAGAGAATAAGCTTAACTAAGGGAACCTTAACTTAAGCACATGCTTAATCCACTGGAGCTCCCTTTCACTGGAGTGCTCTTTACTATTCTATTAAAGTCCAGGCATCAAATTATCCTGCCTTTAGTATTAGCTCTGACTTGGCTTATAGGTTAAAATTCACAAATTACCCTGTACAAAAAGACTTTACAATGTCAGACATGTATACTAATAATTCTGTTGAATGTTTATCAATATGCTTAATCCCTTACTGCCTTGAGACTTCAGTCAGCACAGTATTTATTGACTCAGGCTGTAAACCTATACATATTGAGATAGGAGCATGTTCAGTAGGGCTCAACAGCTGAACTCAATGGGACACATGGCTGAACAGTCATCCTTAAGATGGGGCTGCCATTCTTGTGTTTCCTACGATGGAAGTACAGTTTGCCTAATGCTGCCAGAGCAGAGACAGATTTTTTAAAAATATCAAAGCAGCAGTCACCCCAAAATAGAACTTTTCAGCTTTGCACAGATTAACAGATGTAGATTTGAGAGTCAGCATGGTGTGGCAGTTAGAGCATTGGACTGGAAGATCAGGTCCTAGTCCCCACTTGGCCATGAAGCTCACTGGGTGACTTTGGGCCAGTCACTCCTTTCCAGTCTGATCTACCTCACAGGGCTGTTGTGCAGATAGAACTGACTTATGGAAGATGACTTGGATTTCTTCCAAGACAGAAAAAGTGGAATATAAATGCAATATAGTAGTAGTAGTAATTAAAATAATTTATAGTGCACATTGGGATCGTATCTAAATTTCATATGTGTATTTTTATTCCCAGGTAATCTGTACAGCAGACAGATTGAAATTGATGGAGAGCTTTTTGCAATTCAAGTGCAAGACACTCCTGGAGTACAGGTAAATTGTGTGTTCCTTTGCTTGCCACAATTTAAAAGAGTGCTTCAATTCTGGTTCCTTTCAAGAAGCCCAGGCTCTGAGCATTTGTTCAAAAGTATCCCAGCTTAGGCTGTGGGAGGTGTTCTAGCTGAACTGAAAACTCTTTTGTTGCTAGTAACTTGTGCTGTAAACAGTCAGTGCTTAATAAACGGTCTGTATATAGTCCCCTGACAGTAAAAGAAAACAACTCACCATTTCAACTAAATTTTTGTCCACTTGAAGACCTAAAGACACAGCCGTCTTGTTTCAGAAGGCTGCCTTTCTTAAACAGAGATCTTGCTAATGTGTTAAGAACAGTTAGTTGGCAAACTAAGGAACACTTTGTTTTTATCATGCTAGCAAAGTGCACTGGAAATCTGGAAAGAAATTTTATTGCTATAGCCTAATCAACTTCAGTTTCATAAACACACAGAAGACAAACTAAGTCACAGCGCCAGCAGCTGCACTCATTAAAATTTGTTAGGACCTGCTCTTATATTATGGAAAGTTTGAATATATAGACATGAGTAAGGTCAAATTTTGCCTTTTTGAACTGGGCAGCTCTCCAGCTTTAAATGTTTCCAGCACATACCTTTGTTCTGTTCCCTCCCACCCCCACTCCCGACTTGCTGTCTAGCCAGTTAATTTCCCATTCTATGGCATCACAAAGTGTTTTTTTTTTCTTTATATGTTAAACAACTTGAGTTGATTTTCCACTTGAATATGGCAGACTTTGGAATGGCTTAGTGGTGCGCATGTGAATGTACGTGTGTTTTGCAGCTGGATCCACAAGCTTTATGAGGAAGAAGGGGAACTAAACTTTCAGGGACACTGTACAAAGACAATGTTATCTCATAATAGAACATCCAATAGGTGTTGGAATGCAAGACCTGAATGCTTTGAGCCTTTCTTTGGCATCTAATTTTTCCATTCTCTGTTTCTCCTTCCCTGCAGATCCATGGACACAGCATGGACTGTAATGAACAGTTGAACAGATGTATTCGCTGGGCAGATGCAATTGTGATAGTGTTTTCAATCACAGACAATAAGAGTTATGAACTACTTGATCACTTCCACCAGCGCATACGGCAACTGCACCCAGGAAACAGAGTGCCTGTGGTTGTTATTGCAAACAAAGCAGACCTTCTTCATATTAAAGAGGTGGAACCCCAACATGGACTTCAGTTGGCCAACATGTTGGGTTGTACTTTCTATGAAGTGTCTGTCAGTGAGAACTACAAGGAAATCTTCAATGCCTTCCATAGCTTATGTAAGGATGTCTGTAAGCAACAATCCACCAGCACCCCAGAGAAAAGGAGAAGCTCTCTCATTCCGAGACCAAAGTCACCCAACATGCAAGATCTGAAAAGAAGGTTTAAGCAAGTCTTATCTGCCAAAGTGAGGACAGTCACTTCAGTCTGAAAGATCATACTAATGGGATGGTTTTCTCCCCCTTCCCAGCACATAATCCTGTTGTTCCAGTTTTGGAACATAAATTGCTGGCATTGCAGCATCCAAAGAAGGGCAAGAGAGAGGGAGGAAGAGATTTCAGATGTTGTTTGAATAGTTGTGGACATAATACATTGTATAATAGAGGAACAACACTGAAATGTGAATATGGTTCTGAAGAAGTGGTACAGCATGTGTTCCTTCATGTTGAAAAGGCACCATTTGATGGACTGAACTGATAATATTTTCATGTTCTGTGGTGGAACTTAGGTCATGTTGATATGTGTAATATCCTGTCATATCAAACTACAGTGGAAGACAACAAATACTCTGAATCACATTTTCTAATTGGAAACAAAATACGTTTACATCAGTTGGTTATTTCGTTGGTATTGGATGAAGGATAGCTCCTTTTGTAGTGCTCACTGAAGCAGTAGGTTGTACTTGTAGGGTTGTGGTTTGAAGGTACAAGTGTCCTACTGATAAAGAAAACCAAAAACCCAATAGTGGAAATCTCTTGGGCATTATTGACTGTATTTCTGACCTTGCAGTAAGCCATTTTACACCACAAACATTTCTCAGTGTAATTTCAGATTTCATTGTCTATGATAGAGGTGAGTAAATTTGAGGGCAAGGTCTGATGACCACCTTCCACCTAGATGGATGAAACTCCTGCCACCACACTGCTGAATTTGGTGATGTGTTGACAGAAAACTATCCATAGCTTGCTACCAAAATTCAGCAGCAAACCCCTACAGAACCTTAAAAAGTCAGGTTTAACTTGAAAACGTACCTTTTTAAAGGCTTGTATCTGTTTGCTGCTAAATTTTGCCGGCACCCCCCCCCTTTTTTTTTGCTAAGCTTCTGCCAAATTCAGCAGTGGAGGAAGCACAAGAGGATTGTCGCCCACATTGTTCACCGCCAGTCTAGAACAATATTGCCATGATAATTCTTTGACGATTGTTCATCCGGTGCAATGCTGAGTTTATTTTCAGACAAATCTTTGATTTGGATTATAATTATCCTACTTAAGCACTCTGGGCATGGATACAGTTTCCTGTTGTTTTCGGTCCAGTATTGATTTGCCTGTGAAGCTGATAGTTCTTGGCTGAACTGTATCTCCAGCTAGCGCATGAGAGATGCTCCACTGTTGCATAATTCTGGCATTTGTAGCTACATTGTAAAAGCCTGAAGAATTCTTAGGTTTGTCACACAGAACCAGCAGGATTGGGGTTGAGGGCTACAAGTCTGACACCAATGCACTTTAAAGAATACACACACTCCACAGTGTTTTTCTTCTTAAGCTGTAACTTATTTATTTTTATGTTGACAGCATCTTTAACAGAACACAGTTCTCATTTTTTGTTTCAGCATTAAACAATGTTTCTCATGCAATTGTCCTGTTTTATATCCATTTTTTTTTAAAGGAACACGGTGGAGGCATGGAAACTACTTAAACTAATTAAGGCTTGAGAGTCATGGAAATGTCTTAAAGTAATTAAAGACACAATCTTAGCATGTTTAGAGAGAAAAAGTTATCCCCTGTTTGGGGAATGCTGGAAGTTGTAGGGCTTATTCATCTCTACATATATACAGAGTTGTGCCATAAGATAAAAAAGCATTGGCTGGGACGGCGACCACTTATAGAGAAGACAGCTTCACTGCTTTCAGTAATGCGACACAAGTATAAACAATATCTGCCCTCTCCAACAACACATGTTGGTAGTACAACCACAAATTTGTATGGCAACAGCCACCTCTTTCTCCCCTCTCCGCCATTTCACTAATTGGCGCTGTTCTATGCAGCCACTCCCATAAGATACTGGGAACTGTGGGCAGCTATACTTTGTGTCATCCAAAAAAAAGAAAAAAGCAACAACAAAACATTTACAGAGCCTTCCTCAAAATATTAGCGCAAAGGTGGGAAATACATGGGCTGCATGCCCCCCCACAGACCACCACGGCTGCATTTGCAGCAATAGCAAAAAAGTGATGATTTTGCATTCGGCTGGTTTGCAACTCCAGGAAACCTCTGGAGCCCAGTTTTGTTTCCAGACAATGCATGTTCCTCATGCACCCTGTTTTAAACACCTGTCACTTTTTGCCTGCAGTGGCAAACTTTGGCGAGGGTGGTGGTGTGTGCGCGTTCCCATGGGGGTGATAACAGATGTTGCCCCTGGTGGGGAGCGAAGCTGGCCGCTGACTCCTGGATGTTGCCCATCCCTAACCTAGAGTGCCTTGGGGTGGCTGGCCCATCACCATCATCCCTCTCCTTTTGCTGATGGGCTTCCTATACAGGAGGCCATTCAACTAGGGCCTGCATCTGCCTTCTTCAGAGGCTTAGTAATGCAAGCTCCAAAGTGAAAAGTACTTTAGAAAAGCCACATGAGTTGCAAGCAGTGATCTGTGGCATGCAGTGCCCAGTGGTCTTTTGGAATGGCCCGGGCTCTTCTGTCCTGAGAGCGAACTGCGCCAGTGAAGCCCTGGCTGGCTCCATGGCAGAGCAACCATGCGTGGGAAACAGGAGCCCCATTCAAGGCGGAAGCCACCTGTAGTCTGGCTCCAGAGCTTCCCAAGAGGCTTTGGGGGCAGCCGCCAAGTGATCAGACTCTCCAAAAACTGGTCTAGGTCACCAAGCTCGCAAGGGGTTGACGAAGAGATAAAAGGCACACCTTCCCTAAGGGGTCTGCGGATTTTGCTCAAATAATTTCCAAAATACGTAGTCTATTAACACAACGTGACAGAAATGGAATGGTAACCATGGAGACTGCTTGTCTTTGCCCTTCTCCTTCCTAAGCGCTTCAGATCAATAGCTGCACAGATCTGCTTTGCCTGATTTGTCACCTGTCTATCAAACAGAGCATGCCAGCACATCCAATGCTCATCGCTGTAAAAGAAATACTCAAAGTGAGCCTTTTCCTCTGAGCAATGTTTCACACACAGGTTTTTGTTCTCTTCCCTTAGCCAAAATGTTGTCTTACAGCCAAACTTAGATTGTCTTCACAAAGAGCCACAAACTAAAAGTCTTTTATGAAGGGATAAACTGCATCTGCTAGATTGGAGAAGGCCTCAACTTGACTGCGCCTTGCAACAAGTTATCAAGCAAAGCTGCTGGAATGAGTTACACTGAGAAAAAAAACAGAGTGTCTAGCTATATTTTACAGCTGTAAAACTAACAAAGAGCCACTAGCTGTTTGAAGCAATTTGAATACAATTCAGAAAAGAAAAGACAATTCATATTTGGGCTTGATTTATCAGATACTTTTTTTCTTTTCCTAAACTCTCTACCAGTTATTCAAAAATGAAGCCTAAGAAAATAATTAGCTGTATTCTTAGCATTAAACCTACTGAAATTATAATCTGCTCCTTATGTAATGGGAAACGGGGAGGGAAGAAGCATGCGAGAGAGGGTGGGAGAGAGAGTTACTAAGTAAAATGAAATATGTTCCATCCAATTAATCCTTGGTCTGCCCAGCAAGATATTTTAATACAGTTGCTTCCGTGAGCATCCTACATTTCAAGATATTCCGCTGACTCAAGTAATAAAGTTTTTCTTTCTGATGTGATGGTGGCATCTTTCACATCTGAATGACTTGCTGGCAAGGGACAGCGTAGAATATTTACCATATTGGTATCGCCATGGGATCTTGAAATGGGGCAGTCTATAAAAGTGATGAATAAATATAAAAAGGAGGTGGGAACTTTCTTCCTATATAAAGCTAACATGTCAGGTAGGTTAACCTTCTCCTTGACATGCTAGTTTCCCAAGTGAATGATGTCTTTTCCCCAACTGGAGAATCATTTGGACAGCAGCTGTAAGGTCTTGGAGTGACTTTCCTATGTGATCCTACCAACTGTATAAATTGCTCCTTAGACTGCTATAGCCTTGGTCTAAAGGCAGATACCCTGAATAGTGTTGGCTTTTGTTCTGAAGCAAATTCACATCTTTATTTTGAAAGTCAGTTTTCCAGTCTCAGGATCTCCAGTCACACAGGGCTGATTCTGTGATGTATGAACTCATGGTTAGCTGTCAAAGGATACAGTTATCATCTGGGTAATGTCACTCAGATGACGAGCACCATCTAGGACACTGATTTCATGTTGGACCAGTGGGAGATGGAGATCACTGGGAAAGTAATTAGCAGGCAATTCCAATCCCTTCTCTTACTGGCTTGTAATTGGGCTACTACTACAAAACCTATCCAATATTAGAAATGACACCCCCTTTATAAAATATTATGAAAAAAAACCTTAGGGCATGCAAACTGTCAGTGGAATATTACATTTAAGACAGAATTTGCCATTCAGTGCTCAACATGATCTCTGGTGCCATCTTCTTTTACAAGACAACCAAAAAGGCATGAGCATCACTGCTAAAGAAAAGGCAAACTCAGGAAGCTTCTGTTGCCGTCTTCTCTTGTTTTACAGTCTTCCCAGGAAATTGTTATACGCAGTGAACTCTACCCCCTGAGGTTGCCTTTAACCACCACTGATGCTAACAAGCCTAAAGAAAAAAGATTTCAGCTAAGTACAGCATAATGCAGGAAGAGGAGCTAAAATTCAACCTGATGTCACTGAAGAAATGAACCAATTTTCAATGGCTCTGCTAGTGTAGATACTTTTCTGGACAGGCAACTATCAAATCGACTTCCTCCAGTGTTAAAATCAAGGTCATGTGAAATTTCAGGATCTCTAATTTTAGCAAGAATATCTCAGGGGACAGATGGAAAACCAGTTTTGATTTTCAGATACCCATGTCTGGCTGAAGATGGTCTGTGGCAAACAGCAACTCCAGAGTGTTATATGGAGTCAGAAGAGTTGTGGAGAGGACAATTACCTGAAAAGAAAGTAAAGTGCACAGATGTAGTCACATACACATGAAAACAATTACACAATTAATAAGATGAATCCCTGTCACCACCAACAGCACTAGTGAGCATCAGGCATATTTGGTGACGAAGAGTTGTGTTTCTGTGGGCAAATACAGCTGAGCTAAAGCTGTTATGTGCTCAGCATATAATTAGAGGTAAGCCTGCTACTACTAGAAACATATAATCACCAGCACTGTGCTCCACTGGTAGTTTAAATCATTTATCTTCACAACATATGGCCTGTAGCAGTGGGTTTCCCTTTGTTCTGCTTTTAACTGATTGCCATTCCTGATCTACCTGCCATCGGTTCCTGCAACTGTTAATGTTTTGTTAAGAATTGTTTCACGTGTATAGCTGCCCTTTCCTCTTAGATTTTAAAGACATAAAAGCCAGTTTTTCCTGTCATGATTTCAGTGAAATACATTGAATTTGCCTCCCATTTGGATGAGACAGTGTCATAAATTGATTTGAGATAGTTTATGTCAGGTGTTGCAGGACTTGGATCAGAGCTGTGGCATTCAGTATTTTCAGTATGGAGGCCAATGGTAGGAAGAGCAAATGTCTGAGCAGGAATGGGCAACTTATGGCTCTCCAGATGTTTTGGCTCCCAAGAACCCCATGAAGCATAGCCTTGCAAAATTTGGATGATCACAAGCTGGCCACTCCTGGTAGGCAGTTCAAACAGAGGTAACTAACATTACAGACCAGAACCGGGGGGGGGGGGCAGGGGGAATGGGGGAGAGGAAATCAGGTATTCTTAGGCAGTCACTCCTACCCATTAGTTCCAAGATCTGCTGCACTGCCTCAGTTTAGTTAATCTGTTGTTGATAGAGGCAATCAGGCACTCCCACCGGGCCCCTAAAACTGGCACTCAACTGGCAAAGGTCAGCGTTTGGACTAGGTGGATGCTGTGCAAATGTTCTTGGGAAAGATTGCTTCTCTGAGCGCAACTATGTATAATCATGGTTTTATTTACAATAGCACTGTCAAACAGTTCTTTTGGCTGATAATTTCCTTTTAATGGATAAATCAGTTAGCTGATTACCAATATTCAGCTTTGCACAGTACCAAATCCTTAAATACATACTGATACAATTGAGAGATAACTTGCAGTTTCATAAATCATAGGTTCTACTCACTGGCAGAGAGGCTTATTTTTCATGTTTTCTTTTTTACAGTATTTCACAAAATAGCATGGAAAATGTACAAAAACTAAACCAAACCACACACAAAGTTGTGTGTGCCCTTAACTCTTGATCTGGTTAAAACTAAAATTTGTTTCCACGAACTATTCATTTCACATTTTAATTGATCCACTGAGTAGAATTTGTCAACTTAATACTGAGACATATCTGATATATTAGGCAGGCCTATTCTCATGTATTTTTCTGGTGTATCCTTCATTTCAGCTATTAGTAGTTACAGTCCATCATCAACCTCCTATATTTGCAGGTCAGCATTGTGTTTCTCTGCTATATTCAAAGATACTCAGCACAACTCTTTAAAAATAAAGTCATTTATGTTATAATCAGCACCCTCTCAATGTTTGATAGCTGTCATGCACGCTGAACATACATTCTCCAGCTACCTATTTAGTCTCTATTTACTTGTACTCCATCCAAACATTCAACACAAGCAGTACCTGTTGACAGGCTTCTTGGCTGTTACGGAAAACACTTCAGTTTTACATCCCTAATCCTACTCTTATTTAAAAGGAACATCAGTATTAACTGTGAACAGCAGGGTGTTGTTTCAGTGGAATGGATTGCCAATACAAAAGTTCTGTCTTTCATAATACTTAAAAGTGACTGGCAGAGGCTTCACATAAACAACTTCTAAAAATACCAGGTTCTTTGAAAACATAATCTTGAACAGGTGGTCAATATTCAAAGGCCTAGAGATATCCAGGTAAATCCAATTGATGGAAACTTTATCTAAGAATCAGCCCCCCACACAGGATTCCCATTGCCTGCAACTCCAGGGCATTTTAACCCCCAGTGTAACAGCTTTATACACCAGGAGTGTGATAATAAAAGCCACTGAGTAGGTCCTGAATGCTTTGTCTCCTAGAGTGACCCATCACTGGTGGGGTCAAGCCCAGGCAAAGCAACACCAGTTTCTGTGTCACTCCTTGTCAAATTTCAATCCCTCTCAGATAGTAAGCCAAAAGCCAGGCTACATAGTTTGCACTCTCCTCACTCATTAAACCACTGCTTATCTTTCAAGCCATAGCATTACATTTGGAGTCTGGATTAACTTGTCCATCAGGGTACTGCAAATTCAAGGTCTGCCCAGGACAGCAAGGAATTTGATTCACTACACTGAAGAGATGATTTGGGAAGTTAAATGCAAAAAGACATGTTATCAGATGAAAATGTGTTGCTAAAGAAAGCATTTAAGTCTCTGGAATGATTACATGAGCTCTTAACTCAAGAATGCCATTAACACAGAGTAGGCATTCTATCCAGCCCTGTAGGTGCTCAGCATTACTTAGATTGCCTCCCTCCCATCCCACTCCAACATTTTGATAAATCATGTGGCCTGCATGATTATGAAAGCAGAGCTTGCATTGTATTTATAAAACACACAAATATGTTACTGATGTACCCTGGGGGTGAGATAAGATGTTTGTCTGGATCAATGGTGAAATCCTGAATGAAAGAATTAAAGTTTTAATCTAAGTTAAATTAGTCCACCCCTGTTCAACAGAAAGTTGAGAAGCTCTTGGCATCTCTTTGTTACTGTAAAAAACTTTATACTTGTGCTGACTGGCTCACATGGAAATGTGCATGTGTTGTGAAATTTTACAGATGTTTCCTTTCTCTACAACAGCCTCTCTATATCTGGTGCCATCCAGATACTGTGGGCTACAATTCCCATCAGCCCTAGCTGGCATGGCCAATCATCAGGAAACTTGGGAGTTTTGGAGCCAGCTTCAGTACATGCACAAAAATATGCTAACTCAGACTCAAAAGCTGATTCATATCGGTTGAGCTTGAAAAACAGGGCAGAGTCATTTCCTAGATGTTGAAAACAGCCTCTGATCCATATCATCATAGTGGTTGAAGGCTGATGGACGAAGCTTCACACAATCCCAAAGCGTGCTGCAATCAGATTTTAGACTCTATACTGAAGGGTCATACGGGATGCTCTCCAAATGAAATACTCCACTTACTTCGAAACTTCTGCATTTGGAGGTCCTTCTGCCCATTCTATTGAATGGGAACCTGATGGCACCACTGTTCAAAACAGATTGGAAGAACCCAGCGGGAAGCTGGTTGGTAACATCCCCATGGTCCTGAATTCTAGGCTTGGGTTCAACACTGTCCACCACTGGAATGGAAACTGATGACACAACAAGTTTCCCTTCGCTCCTGCAGCCTCCTATGTTTCCTTGTTACAAGGGGGAGGCAAGTGCAAGGATCTTATGTGAGCAGAAATCTTCTCAATCTTGGTTTTAACCTCTAAAGTCCTCCATAGCTTCAGGTTTCATGTTCCTTATCCCAGCCAATTGGTGACAGCTACTGCAATTCTCAGACACATTTTTATATATCATAATGTCCTTGCTTCTTCTGTATCTGATTGCGAGTGTGGTGGGACTATGTGCCTTGTAGCAGACAATTGTTTTGAGGGTTTAGTGAGCAAACCCTAGTTTATACTTAGTGTCAGCCTCCACAGTTCTCTGTTTCTCCCCTTACCATCTAGTAATCAGGGTTCTATCTTGCATGCCTTCTCCCGCCCACACAAACTTGCTCCTCACAGGCAGTCAGCAGTGGTATGGAAGTACTTCAAAACCCCTTCACCTCATCTTTCTGAATGTAAAAGCCAGGATATAAGCTGCAATTTTCCCAGGTCTGTACCATCCTCTTTTATATTTGGAGTAGAGAAATAGTTTCTGAGGATTATAAAGCTGTCATTTTTACTCTCCCCTATTCTTCTGTTCATTGACAGAGTGCACAGTATGCAGAGACGGCCTTGCTACTTGGAAAGAAAGTTCACTGTTCCTTGAGAATTCTGTACCTGCACGCCAGGCTTGTGCGCTGTTACAAGGTCCTTTACCATTTTGACTTCAGAAACAGTCACTCCACCAACCATGAAGATGATCAGCAGAGGATGATCACTAGGATGAGGACGGCTCACCTGGAAAGAGGAGAGGATAAGATGTGTATGCAGTCTTGAAAAGGAGCTCACAAAACATTTCTAGGCAGCGTACTGGTGGCCAGCAGACATGGGATGGAGGGTACATCCTTTCCCCTTTAGCAGCCTGCTGCATTTTTATGTTGGTCGTGAAGGAGAAAACTTCCCTTCTCTACATGTCTGCTTGGTTTCTATCCTGGGCATAGAGGCGGAACAAAGCATTCTGTCTCTGCCAATGCACATGCATGCAGTTTATTGTTGCCTAAGGCCACTAGACAAGGACTTAAATACAAGGCTGTGTTCATGTAAATTCTACTGATATTACAACATAATTTTCCCCCTTGTCTTTGTTGATTTAATTTATCAAACACCTCATAAATTTTGCTAGGCATTGTACAAAGCGTAACAAAAAAACCAATAAAATACCAAAAAAAAGTCAGCCATATTAATCAAAAAGTGCCAACACCACTAAAATGATCATCGGATACAAGAATTAAAAGTAGATTGGAAACGTTGAAGTAATACAATGGAACCAAGTACCTTGCTAAAGCATTTTAAAGACTTAAAAATACTTAAAACAGCCTGGGAGAACAAAATCTTAACCTGGCACTGAAAAAGATAGCAATGTGGGTGCAGGTGAGTTTTCCTTGGGACACCATTCTAGAGGCGTTGATTGAAAAGCCCAATTTCTTCTTGTTGCCCTCCAGGTCTCAGAATGAGAGAGAACTTGGAGAAGGGCTTCCATGAATGACTTGAAGGTTTTCTGCTTTCTACTTCCATCCATCTATCCTTAACTAGGGTTGCAGCTTCACTACAGAGATGACTGGCCATTTGGTCAGATCTAAGGACAACAGCAAGGCTTTCATAGGACAGCCTCCAAAGCTGTCTCTAGGCTGATGACTGGGCGGCCAAAAACAACAAAACACACCCTTGTTTCTTTGTAAATAGGTTGATTTTCTCTTATAGTCTCTCCAAAAATATAGATGACTGAAATACATGTTTAAATTCACTTATGCTGGCTGCCATGAAATATGAAGCTCCTGCATTATAACTACTGTAGGAGTCTAAGAAAAAAAATATAACAAAATAAATATTTGTTTTTAATACCAGATATTTATAAACATATGAAATAGTGGATTTTACACTGGAAATAGAGAAATAAGTGGCAGAATGTTGCATGTTTTCTCTCATGTTTTGACAGACTAATATTACACTGAAATGCACAGGAGTAGAACCTTAAACTATTCTTTCAAAAGAAAATGAACAAGACCTAAGGAAGTGCATCCAGAAGACATGTGTTAGAATCGGACCCAAGATATTAGCTCAGATGTGGGTTTGCCACATTCTTTTGCCCATGTCATAACTTCTCAGCATTGGCTCCTTATTTATAAAGTGGGAATAGCAATGAGCTAACCACAATGTTTATCTTAAGTGAAAACAAAGTTTTGTAAAATGCACAGATTACAATCCATTATTAGCTTATAAATGCACTTAATTGCAAAGAATTCAATGGGCATAAGAAAATTCTTAATTGGATAGTGAGTAAAGAGAAAAAGTGCCAAAATGACTAATAAGCAATTATTTTATGCTATTATTAAAAATAAATAACTCAATATAGCACACTATCATTATTTCAAATATGTACCAGCTATTCCTCACATTTTGTAGACTGAAAGATTGCCTAGCTTTATCAATGATAAGCCTATTCAAAGTCTTTCAGCTATCTCAACAGAAATGAACAGAATATGATCCCACACTAGGTTGGAAAGTCAATAAAATTATAAGCCCACATGCATAGTGCTATATTTTGGAAAATCAATAAGTATATATTTTTAAGTGTGTATGTGGAAGGGGGGGGGGCATAATTTTCCAAACTTAAGCGGCAGAAAAGGATAAAGAAAAAAGAAAGGTACACATGTTGCTAGCAAAAACAAATACATTAATTAAGCCAAATTAAGGGTTGCATTTTAACACATCTGGTGGGCACCATGTTGGAGAGGGCTGCACAGGAAACAATTCCTGCTGGAACCTGCTGTCCTACCCTTTTTAAAAAGAACAAAACATGAACTGTATGTATGGATGGGACACAGAATTGAAAGTGGAGTGCAGGAGAAGCTATGCTCCTCCAGAAACAGTCTCTGTGGGACAGCTTAACCTCACATACTCACACAGCTAAGTTTCTTGCAAATGGGTTTGCGATATGCATTTGCTTTACTGATTAAAAGTACTAGAGCAACATGCCAGGTGGTGTGTCTTTAGACTTTTGCAGAGGCCTTGCAAAATTCATTTCTGAGCATCTTCAGCAAGTCTGCTCAAAAATGTTTCACCATCAAAAGCAGGGGCTTGCTTAAGTCTCCTGCAAAGTGGTGGAAGTGGATGGGAACACATGCCAAATCCCTCCCTTCAACCACCTCAGAGTAGGAAGACCAGGTTGTAAGGGCAGCCAGTAGTGTGAGCTTCTGCAAATGATCATTTGAAGAGTTTGCACAGTTGGAATGGCCTTGGTTTTCTATGGGAAAATCCAGAGTTTTAATTTGGACAGATATATAGTAAAGGAAACTATAATAACAGGCATTTTATTATCGTGTAGCATTCATTGTGTTGTTATGTGCTGTCAAGTCATCTTTGACTTATGGTGACCCTATGAATGAAAGTCCTCCAAAAGGTCCTGTCCATGACAGCTCCAGTCAGCTCTTCCAAATTCAAGATTGTGGCTTCCTTTTAGGGATTCAACCCATCTCGTATCTCATCTTCCCTTTTGTTTTCTGTCTTTGTCTTTCCCTAACATGATGGTCTTCTCCAGTGAGTCTTGTCTTCTCATAATGTGTCTGAAGTATGACAGCCTCAGTTTTGTTATTTTTGCTTCTAGATAAAGCTCTGGCTTGATTTGATCTAGAACCCCCTTGTTCATCTTTCTGTTGGACCATATGCAAAGTTCTCCTCCAGCACCATGTTTGGAATGCATCATTTTTCTTTCACTGTCCATACGGTGATTCGGAATACGATAGTTCAACGATCATGACCATAATCTCCAGGAAAATGCCTTCATAGTTGATGATTTTTTCTAGCTCCTTCACTGCTACCTTTCCAAGTCTCAGTCTTCTTTGAATTTCTTGACTGCAGTCTCCCTCTGAATTGATGTCTGAATCAAGGTATGTGACATCTTTTGTTTTTTGCACCTTTTCTTCCAAGTGCTCTATCTTGGGGATATATTTTTAATTAATGAAATAAAATTGCTGCTTATTTAATCTTTTTGGCTTTAAGTGGTATCAAGTTTTCTGCTCTGGTCACCTATGGTCAGTCCCTTTAGCATCAGATGTTTTCTGTTTTATGCTCCTTAGAAGCTAATTTCATCCTTAGAGGAAAAAGCTTGGTGGAGGCTCTTTTTGTCTCTCAACAAGGTTGTTTTTAGAAAGACTGTCACTCCAGTCAAGTAGTCTTCCCAGGGGCACAACTCTTGAACTCATACAGAGTTTGAAATTAGCACAGCTAATTGGCAATCAGATAATGGCTACCTACAGGGGAGGAAAGAGGACAATGCATAGGTGATATTTCCTCTCCTCTCTCTCTCTCTCTTGCTGAGATCACTATGAAACAAGGTTATGGTATGCTGAGAACACAATTCCATACACCTTTACCTGGGAGTAAGTTTCATTTAACACAAGGGGGCTGGTTTCTAAGTAGACATGCATGGGGTTGCACTGTCAGTTATGCAAATCCTTTCTGTCTATTTGCAAAGGCTTGAGGCAAACAGAAACCTATCCTTGCCATGTCTTAAATGCATGACATTCCTGTGAGTTAGCTCTGGCTGACAGATAGCCAGTGGGTTAGGTAGCATTTAAAGTCACGGTTTCAGTTATGCAGAGGAGCCATTCTAAGGGAACTTCCCAGAAAAGCTTTTATTGTGCAATTGTCTGGCCCCATTCATGGAATTTGTAACTTCCTCATATTTTCTAACCACTTTTTTGTATATGAGCATATAAAAAAAATTCAACCACAGAAGAAACGCGAAAGAGCTGCACAATGTCTTTTGATTAGTAGCACCAGAAGCCATCTATCTAGATGTACCCCAGTTTTCAGTTGGTGAAACAGAAAAGTAAGGAAGGAAAGATTCAACAAGATCAAAGGCCCAATCGACTCTTGGGTACATTTGGCAGCAATACACACACACACACACACATCAGTATAGTTGAAAAGAACTGCCTCTTGTTTTTTAATTTATCTCAGAATAACCATAGAAATAATATCAACACAGGAAAAAGGGATATCTTTTTTTTCTTTTAAAATTAAATCAAAGAAACAGCTGCCTTTGCACAGATAGTACACACAGGCCCATTAAATTATTGACAAAAATTGCCACTGTTTGTAGCTCCAGAGAGCAGGCTCAAGATCTGGGGCCACTTAGGTGTTGTTGTTGTTACACTGCATTTATATCGTGTCTTTTTTCCATTTGTGAGGAACCCAAGCCCTCTTACATAGTTCCATTTTGTCCTTACAACAAACACCTTGTTGGGCTGAGAATTAGTGACCAGTCTAAAGTCACCCAGTGAGCTTTGTGGGCACATAGGGACTAGAACCCAGATCTCCCAGGTCCCCAGTCCAACACTCCAACCACTCACCACACTAGCTCACACATCAGTACCTTGTAAGACCCCAAACCTATGCAGACTTAGCACACCAAAGCCCAGTGGGCTCAATGAGCTTAGGCTTGCTGATCCAAGGATGCTTCCAGATGATGGGCTCCTACTAGTAACCATCAGAAGGCACTGCAGAGTCAATCCTATCTTGTTTTCTCTAAAAGATGATCTGTGGTAAGAAAAGGATGTAACAATTTGTGGAAAAACACAGGAGGGCTAAAAGTTGCAGAAGACCAGTACCAGTGGCAATCATCTTCTCTCTCCCTGCCTCTCCTGTCCCACTTGCACTGGAAAAAACTATACAGACTAAAAGCCTTAACTGTTTGTTCCAGCAAGAACCAAACTTTTTCCGCACAGGCTTTGATC